ACCAATGAATTTTCATAGGGTATCCTGATCTTGACCATGGAGGAATTAAAATCACTGATCTAAGTATTAAACTTTACCAACCTGCTCAAATCACTCTTCAAATTAACATACTAAAAATAATGACCCTTGGTAGAGCTATACAATGGAATACTACCTAGCAAGAAAATAGGGACATATATGCCACAATATAGTTGAATCTCAAAACCTTTGTACTAAATGAAAGAAGCCAGATGCAAAGGCTACATACTAGATGTTTGGTATTCTGGAAAAGGCAAAACTATAATGCCCAGGTATCACTTCAAGCCCAGATGGGCTGGGAGAAATTTGAGTGCAGGGGTGAAAATGCTATAAAACTGATTGTGATGCTGCTTGACCAAATCTGTAAATTTACTAAATATTAATGAATTGTTTTTTTATGTCTTAAGAGACAACTGCAATATACAGACTTTGTTCAGACCTGATTCTAACATACTAACTCTAAAAAGACATTTCAAGATAGTCAAAGAAATTTGATTATGAACTAGATGATACCAAAAAAATTATTTAAATTCTTAGGGGTATAAATGGCATTTGTTCATATTTTTAGAATCCATATTGAAACATGTGCAATGTCTGAGATATGTTTTACTATACTAAAACAGAGAAAAAAGATGGAAAAAATAAATGAAGCAAATGGAATAAAAATCTTAATTATTAAATCTGAGTGATGGGTATAAAGGAGTTCATTGTATAACTAAAAAAATTTTTTTTAATCCTCACCCGAGGATATTTTTTCCATTGATTTTGTTTTTTTAGAGAGAGTGGGAGGGAGGAGGAATGGGGGAAAGAGAGAAAAACATCAATGTCAGAGAGACACATTGATTGGTTGCCTCCCCCAAGTGCCCCGACCGAGGGCCAGGTAGTAAGCCTGTAACCGGGTATGAGTCCTTGACTGGGAATTGAATCCAAGACCCTTTGGTCTGTGGGCCAACACTCTAATCACTGAGCAAACACACCAGGGCTTTTTTAAATATATACATAATTTAGGACTCTTAAGTAATATAATCCTTCAGAGAGTTACTTAAATGTTAGCTTTTTTAAAAAACTGATTTCAGAGAGGAAGGGAGAGGGAGGGAGAGGGAGAGAGAGAGAACCATCAATGATGAGAATCATGGATTGACTGCCTCCTGCACACTCCCTAGTGGGCATGGAGCCTGCAACCGGACATGTGTCCTGATCGGGAATCAAACCGTGATCTCCTGGTTTATAAGTGGAAGCTAGCCACACTGGCCGGGCTCACTGTACTATTTTCTCTGTATTTGTATATGTTTGAAATTATTTTTTAAATTTTAAAAATTAATGGCTACAATCATACTCTCTCACAGTGAATGATGAAAACCAAACCAATCAATTGTGAGTCCCCAATATTGCCAGCAACTAAGATACATTGGTATCATTTTTTTTAAAAATATATTTTATTGAGTTTTTACAGAGAGGAAAGGAGATAGATAGAGAGTTAGAAACATCGATGAGAGAGAAACATCAACCAGCTGCCTCCTGCACACTCCCCACTGGGGATGTGCCCACAACCAAGGTACATGCCCTTGACCGGAATCGAACCTGGGACCTTTCAGTCCGCAGGCCGATGCTCTATCCACTGAGCCAAACCAGTTTCGGCCATTGGTATCATTTTAATTTCATTTCAGTTTTTTAAAATTATTTTAAGTAACTATAATAAAAACTAATTCGTTACTTTTAAGTTACCATTTGAAATGTCAAAAAACCCACTCTGTTGAGGGGGAGCAGGGGACAGGAGTATATATGTACTTTTTTCCCCCTAATAGCTCAATTGAGTCTCTGATTATATACTTGACATTGCCCAGGTCATGAAATAAATCCATCAGCAAGTATTATCAGTAACTAGCCCGTAATAACGCCTGGCACCTGTGCAATGTATTCAAGCCTTTTCAACAGCTTTTCCTTTGTGCACATCTGCAAGCTCTCTATGCACATCTGCATACAGAATCCACAGCCATGATTTGCATTATAATTAATGTAACAGCACATCTGACCAGGTCTGCAAGGTTTTGATATATAACCATTTTTTAGGTCTGCAGGGATTTGAGGATGCTCTGGAGAGAAAATACAGCTAATTTTAGATCATCACTGGACAAGTTATAAGTGTTAAAACACTTGTTTTTCTGAAACAGCTATGACATAGCTGAAGGAAAATCTTAGTGTGCATGTAACACACACACACACACACATCTGCTTAAAATCATGGGTGTTCCCCTCCTGCACTCATCACCACATCTGTCATATATCCACTCTAAATGATAAAGATGTAACCACAAATTTACATATGGATCCAATTTAAAATCTTACATAAAAAGCATTCTTTGGCTACCATTGACAGAGAAAATCACTGAAGTGTGGATTCAAGTAGTGGTATACAGCAAGTACATAATTATTAAATCTGAACTGTATATCCCTCTCATTTTATAGCTTTGGTAGTTAAAACCTTCCTCTTATAGCCCCCTTACTCCCATTTAAACATTTTTTACTTTGAAATCTAGATAGAATTCTATGGGTAGGTAAGTTCTTACTTACATGCATTTCTTCAAAGGCCCTCAGAAGTATTCACTGTCCACTTACATTGTTCAATTCCACAGCTACAGCACAGAGTGAAATGCCATGGAAGCAGATCAACTTGGTTCTATATCTCATTATCCTAGAATGCTATGAATCACAACTGTCCAATAAAACTTTCTGTAATGATACCCAATATAGAAGCCACTAGCCACATTGTGGTTTTTAAGTGCTTAAAATGCAGCTATTATAACTGAGGAACTGAACTTTAAATTTTATTTAACTTAAATATCCACATGTAGCTAGCAGTTACTATATTGGACTATGGGGTTGTAAGTAAAAGACTTTCTTTTATTATGTTTTTACTCAAGACAACTGTTATATACAAAAGTTTCTTTGAAATAATTATCTCTCGCCCAGCAGGTAATTGAGCGTCAACCTATAAACCAGGAAGTTCCATTCCCTGTCATGGCACAAGCCTGGGTTGTGGCTCAGTCCCCAGTGGGGGGCAAGCAAGAGGCAGCTGATCAATGATTCTCTCTCATCATTGATGTTTCTATCTCTCTCTCCCTCTCCCTTCCTCTCTAAAATCAATAAAAATATATTTTAAAAAAGTAAAATAATTCTCTCATCTATACACACACACAATTAATCAAATCTTCATAGTGCTTAACTGAGTAATTAGGTTATGAAGTCAGACATTCAAATATATTTTGAATAAATATATGGGTTTGTATTAAGAATTTTTTACAATAAACAGGTAACTTTTGTAATCAGAAAAAAACTATAAACTAATACTTTAGTCATTAAAACTCTATACATAAAGATATATACAAAATATGATATATAAGCAAAATACAAAATATGATCTATTTTTGGTCACAAATATTTAAAAATTAAATAGGCATGTGTATAAAGATTGAAAGGGACCATAAACCAATGAAAATAATCAGATAAAGGAAGGGATTATAAGTAGAATTCATTCATGTTGAGTTGCATTAATGTTTACATATACGTAAAGCTTTAGAAAAATAAAATACGGTTGAAGAACAGCAAGATCTAAATGACTGAACATAGATATAATCTCATAAAACCCGAATGTTGACAGATGACTACCCTATATCAGCACCAACCTAGAGGGCTAAGGATAAGGAAACTAAAAAGAACTCAAGTTGTATGCTGTGGGAGGAAGATGTAACTAGAATTGAGTAATCCATGACTGAGAGGAAGCTGGGAAATAAAGAACTTATAAATGAGAATAAGAGAGCTAATGGGTGTCAATGTTAATATTTAGCCAGTAAGACTTCAGATTATTTCAAGGCTGTTCCCTGAGAAGCTAGGAAGGCTCAACATTGCTTTTTATGTGCAATGCATTCCTGAGATTAGCATCAATTCACTTAATTCACCTGGACAGCTTCAGTGACTAAAACAGTGGTTCTCTAACTTCAAAATGAGATTCCCAAAACCCACCCTTACAAACTGAGAAATATTGATTTTTCAAAATAACATGCTTTAAGTATCTGGGGGATATATATATATATATTCTGATATTCTTTACAAATAAAATCTATCTTCTATTTAATAAAGGAAACTAAACAAGTTTTTGATAACTTGGGAAACCCTAAAACCTCTAACCATAGTCCCTTATCTTTTCATAGATTTTAGGAAAGAAAGGAGAATAGAAAAGTTGTTTTAAACATGTGAAGAACTGTCAAGTAATTAAGGATGCAGACTTGTTTTGTGGGACATCAAGGATAAGCCAGAGGGGGGATGGTTTCAGTTTGATACAATAATGTTTTAAAAGAAATGGAATACTTTATAAGGTGGTAAGCATCCTATTTCTTGACGATATCTAAGCTGATGTTAAATGATCATTTGGTCCATAATTTGTGTGAATAATTTAACCAGAAATAACAAGAGTAGCTGACCAGTAACCTTCCTTCCTATCTTGATACATCCTACCTAACACCTAATATATAGAATGTATACTGTTACAAAAGAGAATTCAAAGTTCATATGAAAGCATTTTATTTTACATATAATTGCTTCAGTGTTTCAAGACAATTAGATAAGTAACTCATATCAATAGGATTTTTTTTTTTACTTTTACACTGCAAATATTGTACTCTCTCGCTTTTCTGGTACCTAAAAGCAAAGTCAATGTTGTACTTTCTCCTCATTACCACCTCAGTATAATTTATTCAACAAATATTTTTTGCCATCTAATAAATGTCAGATACATGCATCCAGGCTAGGAAATAGCTAAACTAATCCTCAATACACACAAGTTAATAGACAAAAGTCCTGGATCTGATTCTCCCCAAACTCGGGTTTCATGGTCTCAACCTACTCCTATGCTCCAGGTCATACTTTCTTGTATAATACCCAAAGAAGCCTCCATTATCCCTCTTCCACCCCTTCCCTCCAATTACCTGAGGGATGCATGGGCAACTTGTCCAGCTGTTGCTTCTCCCCAGCCCTGACCCCAACTCCATGTGTTCTTGAGGCAGCAGAAATTTGGGGCCAGAAGGATGAGGATTGCCTGTCTAGAGGAAACAATGGAATTACCAAAGGGAAGGACTCTGGAACTTCAAAGCAGAGGAATAAAGACAGGGAAGAAAAAGAGGTGAGGTTGCAATGGGAGGAGAGGACTACTTTAAAGCCAGGAGGCAGTTAAAGGCCGAAGTGACTGGAACCCAGGGTTTTGCCTCAGAGAAGCCAACAATACAAAAGGTGCCTCTGTGTACCTTCAGAAGTATTTAGGCAATTAATCTCCAAGGGAAAATGTAAAATCTTGGTTACTCTAAAAAAAGCTGATATTTGAAGATGAACACTGAAGAAGGGAAGAAATTACAACTGGTACTTGGTTATTGTGAAAGATGTTCAACAAACAAAAGAATATATATACCATTTGAAGAAAATTAAAAAGCACCTGTGTTCCCACCTATCAAATGAATATTTTTCTTTACTCCTCTTTCTCCAACTCTTAGAGCATTCTAAATAACTGAAGTATATTTATTTGGAAGGCCAGTATCATGTGTGATATAATTTCCTTAAATTTCAGATTGCCCCTTTGAAAACACTCTATCTCCAACATCATTCCTACTTGTCTCCTAATGTTTAAGTTTTTTTAAACAGATTAAGATACAATCTTTTTACACTAAAATTAAAGGATTTTAAATAGATGAGTTAGCATATTGCTTTAAATCTATCCAGTCGAACTGTAAATGATACCAGTTAATTTCCTATTTTGGTTGGGTAAAAGGATTTGAAAGAGAGGTCTTGACTCTAAAAATACCAGAGGAGGAAAGAAAGCTGAAAACTTCACATACTTCAACAGTTTCCCCTGGGCTTGAACTAACTGCCTTCATCCATACATAAAAAAGAGGTTATGAGCAGTGATTCTTCCTGGTCTGTGCACACGAGCTCACCTGAACACACACTAGGCTGCCCGCCCATTCTCTTCATTCTCTCATGTAGTCATAAACACCTGGCATTGCCTTGGCAACTGAATAAATGTGCTAATACTGCCCACACTAGTTTTCCAGTTATCGTGCTAACTTTATACACGTAACTCCTAGTACTATTTGAATCCAATCAATTCAACCAAAATTTACTGAGTTTTTCCTACCAGGGAATATGTCTAGGTTATCTGTTTTCTCTCTGATTTCTCCTTTCCAGTCAAATCCATTGGATAACCATACTTTACTGGATGATAGATAAACCCCATGCCACTAAAGATTTAAGGAGAGAGATAAGAATTCCTTTGCACAACCGTATTTGTTTATGGAAAGTTAAATTATTGCATTTTCTAGTCTTTCTTTCCTATTCTCGAAAATAAATTCAATACAGCCCCAAATCCTTCCCTGTGTCCTATTACAAGGAAGTTACAGTTGTTGTCAGTGGCAGCAACTCTTGAGCAGAGCGCTGGTGTTCTGTGTTTACCTCTTGAGCACCTTAATACAATGCTGGCTTGACTCAAAATCAGATCCCCTTCTCCCAGATAAAAGAACAATTATCTTTAAAAGAAACAGATTAGACAAAAAACCAGCCCATGCATCTGATTAACAGGCATTTTTTAAATTGACTTGTCCCATGCTAGTCAGCCATATAAAATTGTAACATTATCAGAAATTGTTAGCACTGAGAAAAAACTTTAAATATTATATGAGGAAATAGAAGCTCACAGCTGCTAAATGACTGGATCAAAATAATACAATCAGATGATGACTGACCAAGGGTTATTATGTTTTCCAAACCATGCTGCATTTCTTCATGGTCCCCAGCTATAGCAGAATAGGGACAGGGTAAGGAATGTTCTACAACAAAAAGGAAAAATACCTATTTCCCTGAAAGCAGCAATCTCCTAATCTATGCCCAAGGCCATCCCAACCAGAACCTTAAGGTCCTGCTTTGGAGCTCTGCCTAAGGAGAAAATTATCATCATAACTCTTCAAATCTTAAATGCCTCATGACATACAACCATTGCTCAGGAAGCCACTAGGTTTAAATGAAAATGAAGCTCTTATGCCTACCAATAGGGAAATCTAAGATGGCAGGTTTCCTGGCAATCATGTGCTCCTCCCTCTATTGTGGGAAACAAGCCAGTCACTGGAGTTTCTAAGAGTGGCATATTAACTTTCCCAAGACACCAGGGCATAATTTACTAAATTACCTTTTTGAAGACACTACATGGTACCCCAGTTCTTTGGGAAAGGTAATTAGCCTCCCATGGGTGACAGTTTACTCCCCAAGTGAGCACTGTGCTCACCATAGGATGAGGATGGTCTCTTTTTATGAGAATAAAAATACCAGTTTGCTTGTTGTCAGGAGTGATTTGTGTATTTTTCACCTTATTATTCATGTAAGCCCTATAATATACTTTAAAATTGATAACTTCTCCCCACATATGATAACAGACAAGTAGCAAATACAATAAGCTAGGAGCTTTAACACCCACACATCTGACCTCAATTCAACTTAATAAACATCTATTGAGTACCTACTATATGACAGAGTCCATGCTAGATGTTGGGGAATTATGTTGCTACAATTTATCCATTTGGGGAATATCCATGATCCTATAACACTACCCAGATTATGAATGACTATTAATGTATGGCAAATGGTCCAGAATGGCTTGTCCTGCTCACTGGAGACCTGAATTTGATCAATGGCTCCAAATTTGAGGATAGTGGATAATTTAGCAATGCCATAAACACACCAAATATACTTTATTGATTTGAAAATAAGACCCACAAGCAAAGATCAAAAGAATTCTAATAAAATGGAGAAGAAAATCCTAAAGGGTGACATTGCTATCTTGTAAGGTCCAGTTCCTTCCGGAAGCTTTGCTCAGGAATTCTATCCCCAATGACATTTCTTTGAATTCCCACTGCATTTATGATATGGATCAGAATACTCAGCATTTGATCAAACCATTAAAAGCTGCCTTCTGTAGTTTTCTTTTAAAAATATACTTGTTTTGTCTCCCCAATTATATGGTAGGCTTCCCAAGAGCTTGGATGTGATCTACTTCTCTGGAACTCTACTACACACACAAAAAAAGTTGACTTATAAGTATAAAAAAAATGGTAAATAAGGGAACTAATAGTATCTATTGAAGAGAAAATAAAATTGTGGCAGAGATATTTTCTACTGACTGAATAGCCATGTTCTCCCCTACATTTGCCAGCCCTCTTGCAATTGGGGAAAGCCTAGTTTTTGCTTATTGGACCATAGAAATTTCTGGGTCAAAGCAGTAGAGCCAATTCATAACCATTCAGCTCTTTCTTTTCCTTCCTCAAAGACAATGAAACCCTATATTGAGGTGGTCGAGCCACAAAATGGAAACAGTTTATATCACTAAGTCACTGCATGAAAGGAAACTGTTCTAGAGAATCACTTCACTCACAGTGGAATTTCTATGAGCAAGAAATAAACCTTGATTATATTAAGCCAGAGATATGAGGTTTATCTGGTATCATAGCATAGGCTGGTATTATAATAACTGATATAAATATGAATAAAGACAAAAAAGAAAAATTATTTCAGTAGTAAGAGATGTGATGAAAACCCCCTAATGATGCAAGACTATAGAAGGAAGAGCAAGAAGCAGACTAGGCTCAATAAAAGAAAGGACTTTCTGGTAGTTGGGCCAATAACAGAGATTTGTCTTGTGTTCAATCAGAATCTTCAAGTCCACTTAGCAAGAAAAAAAGGGACAGGGAATTTGAACTAGGTGATTTCAAAGATAGTTTCAAATGCTAAGATTTTATGATTCTATGATTGACAGAGTAGGTTTCTAACATGTGGAGGACATAAAAATGAGAAACAGCTTATCCTGAGTTGTGACTATTTAATATTATACAGAAGCAATATTAAGAGATCCCCCTATAAATTCTTCCAGAGACAGATGAGAAACACATATGAAATACCAAGGAATTCAAGGATCCTCTCCCTGTGGATAGAGTCAAACCATCCCCTTTCCATATACAATGCCACTCCCCTCAAAATACTCTCAGGGCTAGCTCCCAAGTTTCTTGCCACCTCAACTCAGAGTTTGTGTCATAAGGAGACAACTGCATTAATAAAGATTCTGCACGCAATAAAGAGCCTTCTCACTGACAAACTAGAACTATCTTGAATTAACCTCTGAGGGTAAAGTTCAGGAGGTGAGGAATGTTTCTAGACTTGAAACTATATTTAATTTTATCAAGTTCCATCAAAAAGAACCTGTCTTGATTATATTACAAGGGTAGATAGTTAAATTTCTAATTAAGGGAAATATTTTAGCTTTTATCCCTGAAAATATTTTAAGACTAAGAGCAATGTCTACATGTCACACACACAATGGTATGCTGAAAGACCTGAAAATCTTTAAAATTATCTTAGAGAATAATGTGACCCTGGACAAGCTACTTAGCCTCTATGAGTCTCAATTTCTTCATCTGTAATATAGGGAATATAATATCTACTTCGTAAAAGTGCTATGATTTAAATGAGATAATGTGCTCTATAAACTGAAAAATGAAGTTCAAATGTAAGCTACTGGAGGAAAAGTAATAAATACCCTCTGAAAATGTTATTTCTGAAATCAGTGTTGGAGTACCTAATAGACTATGCATATGATAATTAATAAAGCAAGGGCAGCAAAAAGAGACCATTTCAGCTTCACTGAACTCATTCAAAGTTTTGCAATTAGAAAATCTAGAGAGAACTTATTTTAATTTCAATATACTTATATTTTGTATTTAATGCTTTAATTATTTTTAATTTCCTAGGAATCACATATAATATTTCCAGTATTAAGGGCTTCTAGAGTTCTTAATCTCACCTTGTTTGTATTTACCTTAAATACATTCAATAAGGATTGTGAGCAAAAGCACATAAAACCCTGTAACATTTCAGCAAATGATATAAAGAATATATACCACATATGACATGTGGGTTAATTATATATTTTCTGGCATTTGTGAATTACTTCAACTCAGAACTAAGAGGAATGTGGCAGCCTGAGCAACTGCAACAAGTGTATCTCAAATCCAGTGTGGCTTTTAGCTTGGATATCTATATATATATATAAAAGGCTAAAATGCAAAGTGTCCCCTCAGGAGTTCGATTGCTTGCTATGATGTGCACTGACAACCGGGGGCGGCGCAGAACAAAGGAAGGCCCCGGCCAGCGGCCGGCAGCCGGCAGCCAGGGAAGGGAGGCCCTGATCCGCCTTGATCGCCGGCCAGGTCTAGGGACCCTACTCGTGCACAAATTTCATGCACCGGGCCTCTAGTATGGGATATTTGATCATGTGGATGGAAGATGCAGTTTAACTGCACAAGTAATTATGCCTGCTTACATTCTTATGGCATTGTCAAAATCAAAAGAGGGCCCTCTCTTGTGTAGCTCATGCCTGAAGTTCCTTTTCTAGTAAGTGTGATAAAATCTATGCCGTGTTTTGGTAGAGCACGCACGAGGAAAAACAAAAGGCACTGTCCTGTTTCTCTCTGTAATGACCACATATAAATAGGCCAAGGGTCCTGTATCAAAAGCTTTGCACTGATAAGAGTTAGCAGAGAGCCAGGCAGCGGGTGACCCCCCTTTGTTGCTGCTTTCATTTTTAAAATGAATCATTATTTCTGCATTGGATATGAAGATGGGTTTATAGCTATTAGCCATCATATTAATAATTTAGAAAATACATGCCCAATCACTTGTGTTCTTTCAATTCCCTATGAACACAGCTGCAACCCACATTAGAAGCGAGGGTGAATGGATATTTTTCAGATGAGATATTTGGGCTGAATTATTAGGATAGCCTGTACTACAAAATTACTAATAAACATTGCTTCTGGCTCAATTTAGCCTGAACTCAGTGAACCTATCCAATGGTGACAAATCAAAAACTCCGAAATGCCCGATGAATGAATCTAACTAATCAAGGAACCCTGTAGGAAGTAGATGCCAGGATTAATGAGCCAGTCGTTTCACCATGCCATGCTGTTATTTCTTCACATAAATGCCCTCAGATGAGATTACCTTTATGTCATGAAAAGGAGAAAAGGAAGGTTACATTCTTTCAACTGACAGGTTAACTACTGCCATTACTAGAAGACATCTTTGTGGGCTAACTTTTTTCTTTACTCTAAAAATTAAAATGTAAACTGCACAACACAAATTAAAAACATTTTCATTTTCAGGGGAAGCAGTAATTGAGGGCTTTAAACATCAATTGCCCCAAAGTTAGAATTTCTTCTGTGTTCTCCATTCACATCTACCTTGATTTACTGAAATTGCTCTGTGTCCCATTTTGTATTCAATACCTAACCTCATCTTTAGCAGGTTGAATTCCTATATCCTATTTCTTCCACCATCAACAAAAGGTAAACTAAGTGCAACATTATTAAATGCCATCACTTAATGCCATGTGTGATATTTAGTGCCAATATTAAGGAGAACATAAAGATACAAGGATGAATATATGTATTCAAATAAATCAATCATACAGCTACATCATAATAGACTTTGACTTCTTCTACTTAGCATTGGTGACAGTCTTCAATGCCAAACAGGCTACTTAGCAAAAAGTACAATTCATTAGAGGTAGGACATCTACCATGTTGACTTATCTACCCTGTGTTCTGATATTATTCATCATTACTGTCTTTATTCCCTTACTGAATGTAATTGCTTCTTATTATAACTTTAACAGTTTTGAATCAGAATTGCTGCTGATAAGTAGTAAAAAATAATATGAAGTATTATTCTGTTAAGTGTTTTTTTTCCTTCCTCAAACTGCTGAAATTGTTCAGGCTTGTGAATGAGATTCCTATTCTCTGTTTTTTACCATTGCTGTCAGCTTTAACAATTTAGGCCAGGTTGCCTTCCCTTATGCTAATAGTACATATGACATTAAACTGTTCAGCATTCTTAATACAAAAATCTATTGCCATAGAAACAAATATTATTCCAGAGTCAGGTCAAGTGAAAAACTGTACTTTTTCATTCTAATACTGATAACTAACCACTATATTATGAAATATAAGTATTTTTGAAAGCATCTATCACTTCAGTTGATTTGTAACTTCTCATCAGTATTCTAAGTTGACTCATTTTTTTTAAATGAAAGATCCCATTTCCCTTGCTTTTGAGAAATATAATTTTTGAAGATTCCATTTAGCATCTTTTATTGCATTCCTACATCATAAAGTTATGCTTTATAGCAGCATAAAAAAAGCTGTAAAAATTAGCATCCTTGTAAACAACCTTCCATGTTCCCTGGTGAAGCAATCTGTGGTTTGTGCTGATCTCTTAAATGTGACTTGAGATTACAGTATCTATGATTTCAAATTTAAAACAAAAAAACTGTACTAGCCTAGGAAAAGAGCGAATATGATAAAATTTTTAAAATAAGGAGAAGTATTTTTCTTTTACCTACCGATGTTTTAGAAATGTGGTTATTACGCTCCTAAATTCTAGGCTGAGCTCTAAAACACAGAAATGTTCCCTTTTTATATAAAATTCCAGATGAGCATTCTTTAATATTTTAACATATCAAAATAACCCTTTAGAAAATGTAGAGGTGAACTATTCTGTGAACCCACCAACCAAATTTTACCTACGATTAAAATTCCCAAGGTGACATACATATATTGTTTTTCTTGACCCCAGAAAAGCATGCCTTTTGTCCTCACCTTCCAGAAGATTCCCCGGTGTTCTCTCGGTGGAGTAACAATGACACCCGTTCCTAAAACTCACATGTAGCCCAGCGGTGCCCACTGTGTTCCAGGACCAGGGTGTCCTCAGGGCTGACACTGTGTGGCCACCGAACCGGAACCCTTCCCAGGGTCCGGGGCGCGCGGGCCTACACTGCCCACTGCGCTTCGGCCACAGGGCTGACCGGGTTCGGCTTCCGCAGGAAGCCTGGGTAACGACTGGCCCCAAGTTCAAAACACACCCACAACCAGACTCCCGGGCGGCCCCGTGCAGGCTACGCAAGTGTCTACTCGCTCGTGGTCCACCTGAGCCGAGTATGATATTGTGTCAACACACACGCGCCTAAATTCGGGGTCAGCGGGAACCCAGTTGGGGCCCGAGGACACCAGGCCTCCCCGCCCGCGGAGGGAGGCCGCAGAGGCGTGGTCGGGCCCCCAGGCAGGCGGACACGCGGCCTCCCGACGCGCCCTGCGCCCCGGGTACCTGTAGCGGCGCCGGATCTGCCGGCGTCCCCTCCGGCCGCCCGGAGGCCTGGGCCCTGGAGTGGAGAGAG